GGGCGGGGACTCGGGTTGGAGGCGGGGCCTTGAGCTCTCATTGGCTGTGTCTTGCAGGACGAGGTTGCGCACACGCTCACGGAGAACCGCGTCCTCCAGAACTCCAGACACCCGTTCCTGACGGTGAGCACACCTGGTTCCTGGGCTCCTTCTGGGCATGGGGCAAAGGCCCGGCTGGGGCTACACCCAGGCTGTCCTGAAGGGCAGCCCATGGGCTCCAAGGTGGCAGTCTGGGGACAGGACAGTAAGCCTGGGCCTTCCCCCGACTAGCCCACTCCCCACCAGCCAGTCCTGGGGCTGCATCCTCCCTCGAGGGAGGCTGGGGTGCCATCCCTGGGAATCCCCCAGTGGCGTCCAGTCCCCTGGCCTTTGGGCATTACAGGGAAGTGGGTGAGAGCTCAGCATCTGTCTGCCAGAGAAGCTGGGCTTCCTGAACCTTGGGGGGCCCGGGGCAGGGCTGCCATTGCTAGGGCCAGGGTTGCTGCAGCCGCCAAGGCACTATCAGCCTTTCACTTGTAGCTGTTCCCTTCTGGAGCCAGGCTCCCCGTGGCAGGCCTGCAGCAACCAAGGTCTCAGCTGCCCTGCTCCTGGGGCCCCTCAGCTCCCAAGGCCCCTCAGTTGCTGGGGCCCCGCACCCCGGAGCCTGAACCCAGCCCCCAGCCCACTCTGTCCCCCAGTGCCTGTGTCACATCTCTGAGCAGAGACTGTGGGTTCCGTGTGCAATGTGGGGCCTGGCCTGACCCCCAAGGCTGGCCACGGTCCCAGCCCTGCTCCCCTTCCAGGCCCTGAAGTACTCTTTCCAGACCCATGACCGTCTCTGCTTCGTCATGGAATATGCCAATGGGGGCGAGGTAGGTAGCTGTGGCAGCCACCCTGCCCTGAGCTCACACTCCTCTTCCTCCCGGGCCCATGGCCCCCACGGTCGGTGCCAGTGATGCTGGGGGCCTTTCCCTGGAGGCGCCAAGCTCTGCCTGCCTGACGGCCTCCCAGACCCTCACAGCCCTCGGGTGCCTCTGACCACGTCCACCCCACCCATCCCTTCCCCACCCGTCCCACTGCACCGTGTTCCTCTGCACATGACTCTGACCATGACCTGCAAGTCCCGGGTCTGTGGCCCCAGCACCTGACCCACCGCCCTGCAGCTCTTCTTCCACTTGTCCCGGGAGCGCGTGTTCTCTGAGGAGCGCGCCCGCTTCTATGGCGCTGAGATCGTGTCGGCCCTGGATTACCTGCACTCAGAGAAGAACGTGGTCTACAGGGACCTCAAGGTGGGCGGGTGGGCCTGGGCGGGGCGGGCAGGGTCTGGGGTCAGGGCCTTGGCTCCTGCGCTCACAGCGGCGGCTCCCACAGCTTGAGAACCTCATGCTGGACAAGGACGGACACATCAAGATCACAGATTTTGGGCTGTGCAAGGAGGGCATCAAGGACGGTGCCACCATGAAGACCTTCTGTGGGACGCCCGAGTACCTGGCCCCTGAGGTGCGTGCATGTGACTGTGGGCTGGGGGACGCCTGAGTACCTGGCCCCAAAGTGCGTCCATGCAACTGTGGGCTGGGGGACATCTGAGTACCTGGCCCTGAGGTGTGTCTGGGCAGCTGTGGGCTGGGGGACGCCTGAGTACCAGGCCCCGAGGTGTGTCTGTGAGCTGGGGAACACCTGAGTACCTGGCCCCAAGGCGCATCTGGGAGGCTATGTGCTGGGGGACACCCAAGTACCTGGTCCTGATGTGTGGCTGTGGGCTGGGGGATACCCAAGTACCTGGCCCCGAGGTGCGGCTGTGGGCTGTCGGCTGTCCAAGTACCTGGCCCTGAGGGGCATCTGGGTGGCTGCAGGCTGGGGGACGCCCGAATAGCTGGCCCCGAGGTGCAGCTGGGCGGCTGGCAGATACCTGAGTACCTAGCCCCGAGGTGCATCCAGGTGGCCTGTGGTCTGGGGGATGCCCAAGTACCTGGCCCCGAGGTGCATCTGGGCGGCTGTGGGCTGGGTGGCACGCCGGGCGCCCTGTGATACCCTGTACCCGTGCAGGTGCTGGAGGACAATGACTACGGGCGGGCCGTGGACTGGTGGGGGCTGGGCGTGGTCATGTATGAGATGACTTGTGGCCGTCTGCCCTTCTACAACCAAGACCATGAGAAGCTCTTTGAGCTCATCCTCATGGAGGAGATCCGCTTCCCACGCACGCTCAGCCCCGAGGCCAAGTCGCTGCTCTCGGGCCTGCTCAAGAAGGACCCCAAGCAGAGGTGAGTGTGGCCAGGGGTGCGTCCTGCCCCAGAGGAGCCGCCTCTGTGCTGGGCTGCCTGGTCCACCTGCTGGGCTGCACCGGTGGCCAGGGCGGGTCCTCAGACGCACGCCTCTTAGGCCAGCAGGTGGGCAGGAAGGGGCTGGACACAGCTCTCCGACACCCAGCCCAGACCCCATCTGCAGCTTCTGCCCTCACTGTCCTTGGGGCCTAGGATCTGGCTGGGGTAGCAGTGTCCCCATGGCCTCGTCTCTCCCCAGGCTTGGCGGGGGCGCTGAGGATGCCAAGGAGATCATGCAGCACCGCTTCTTCGCCGGCATCGTGTGGCAGGACGTGTATGAGAAGAAGGTGCGTGCCCATGACCACCACACTACACCCCACGTTCCACGTTCATGCCACAGCCACGACCCCCAGGCATCCTCACCGTCACCAATACACAGAATACACAGCCACATATTCCTGTGTGCACATGCTCCTTCGTGCCACACAGCGATATCAGTGTGCCCATGGCACATCAGCATATAGAACACACTGCTGTGTACTCACATGTGCACACGCTCCTTCATGCCACATAGCCACACTCATGTACACGAGGCAAACCAGCACACACAGCACACCACCGTGTACTCGCGTGTGCACATGCTCCCTTGTGCCACACAGCCCATTCACGTACACACAGCATGCCAGCACACAGAACACACTACTGTGTACTCGCACGTGCACATGCTTCCTTGAGCCACACAGCCGTACTTCGTGCACACACGGCAGAACTCCGTCCTGGCTACAGAGGCTCTGGGACTGTCTTGCCGCATCGTCTGGTTGCCTGGTGTGGCCTGAGCTGAAGCTGGGTCCCGGTGGAGGTTCTGTCGTCCCTCTTCCCCTCCTCCTGGGGGTGTGGTGCAGGGACAGACCCCCTACCGCGTCCCACGCCACCCCATCAGATGCTCGGGGTGCAGGCCGGTGGTGGGGGCACTGAGCCCTGCCCCCAGATTCCCCAGTAGTCTGACCTCATTCCCTCCTGCTGTAGGGAGAACATGGCCCTGCCCTTTGGGTGTGGACTGGACAGGGTACCTCCCAGGGGGGTGGTGGCTGCTTCCTGTGCACACTGCACTTTGTTCTCTAAAGACCATGGGCCATGCTGATGGGCTCTGCCCCCTGGGCTCAGGAGGGCTGTGACTGGCAGGCTGTTTCCATCACCAGGCACTCGTCTGCCCCAGTGGCAGCTGCCTTCCTGCAGGTCCCGTCCTGGCCACACACTGTTGGCTGGGTCAGGCAGCCTGGGGGTTGGCTGAACCTCTGTCCTCAGTGGGTCCCGCTCTGGCCCAGGTTATGTCTGCCCCAAGGCCTGGCCGGACCTGTTTGGGAGGAGTAGCTGCTGGCCAGGCCTGTGGCTGGGCATGCTTTAGGGGTGCTGCCTGCATGCCCTGAGGGACTGTTTGGGGACTCCTCACGTCGCGCTGCACTTCACAGGCATGGGGGCCAGACCACCACCCCCATGTCCCCCTGCCTCCTGCCCGTAGGATGGCTCCTGGCTTCCCCTTCCTGTGAGGTCAGTGCCACTTGGGCAGTGCCCAGTGGGGGCAGCCAGCCACTGGGATGTGCCATCCTCCTCCAGCTGCAGGCTCAGCTTTCTGGAAGGGTGGGGGCCTGAGCTGTGCCCCCTTCCCCCTGCAGCTCAGCCCGCCCTTCAAGCCCCAGGTCACTTCCGAGACGGACACGCGGTATTTTGACGAGGAGTTCACAGCCCAGATGATCACCATCACTCCTCCTGACCAAGGTGAGGTGGGGACTGGGTGCAGGGTGGGCCCTTGGCCGCCCCCAGGCCACGTGCTCTACAGCCCAGGGGACAGAGGTTGAGGTGCCAGTGACGGTGGGGCGCCCGTGTGCAGGGCCAGGGTCTGGGGCCTGGGAGGGCCTTGCGGTGACGGAGACCTTGCCTGCAGATGACAACATGGAGTGTGCTGACAGCGAGCGCAGACCCCACTTCCCTCAGTTCTCCTACTCGGCCAGCGGCACGGCCTGACCCGGGCCCGGACGGCCCGGGCTGTGGCGGGGACCCGGCCGGGCGGCGCGAGTTTAGCTTCACTTCTCGGAAGACATGGTCCTGCGGGTTTTCTTAATTTATTTCATCCAGGTTGTCCCCAGGTGCGCCTTGGCCCCCAGAGCACTTGGGGGCACCGAGGAGGACGGTGGGGACAGGCAGCTATGGGTGGGGGGCCGCGGGCAGGCGCCCCTCGCCGCCCCCGCTGTCCCGGCCCCGGCGCCCCCTGGCGCCCGCTCCAGGGCCCAGCACTAGGCCACACCCCCTGGGGGCGGTGACCTGGAGGCGGCCCCGCCCCCTGCAGGAGCGAGGTCTGCGCTGGTTGCTGTGTGTCATGCTGGGGGGTGGGGGTGGGGTGGTTTTTAACCTTAGTGACAGGAACCCGGTCCCCACCCCGTGTGACTTCTCATCGTCCCCCAGACCCCACCGTAGCACTTGTCCTCCATAGACGCTTCCGTTTCCGCTGTCCGCCCCGCCCACCCTGACGCCCGGCCCGACCCCTTCTGAAGGGGAGGTCCCGAGCCCCGCCTCCAGCCGGCAGCCGCTCCCGTGGCGTTTTTTTTTACAACATTCAACTTTAGTATTTTTATTATAATATGAGCTCTTCCTCCAGATTCTTCAATAAAAACTGCTTTTCAAGTTTGGGGCTGGTCTGGTCTTGCTGCATGGGGGTGGACCCTGGGGGATCTGGGGAGGCGCCCCTGTTGGGATCACGGCCCAAGCAGCAGGGCAGTGTGGGAAGCCCAGCGGGCCTGTGCCCGGGGCCGCCCTCCTAACCCCACAAGGCTCCCCGCTGCCCCAAGGGCACAGGCCCTTCCCCTCGACATTGGTTCCCAACCCCGCTGGGAGGGGACGGTGGGTGGCCGCCCTGAGGCCAGTGTTAGGGGCACTGGGGCTAGTGGCACTTTACCTAGACCCACAGCAGACGGCCGGAGTCCATGTGGGAACTTGGGGTGCTGTGGGTAGGACATACATGGAGGGCACCCTGTGGTCTGCACAGCTCAGCCACCCCTGCCATGTGTGGCTCCACACAGCCCTGGCCACCCCATCCCGTTCCCACCTGTCCCACAGTCTGAACACCCAGTCCCCGTCACACTTCAGACCAGGGCCATGGCATCCCCCCCACGCAGAGAAGAGCTGAGCCTGCCAAGAGCCTCTTGTCCAAGGCCACCAGCTCCGTGTGGGTCAGAAGCCCTGTGGCCATGGCCACCTCAGGGGAGGGGTGTGCAGGTCATAGAGTCACTGGCCTGGCCTGGGACACGCTGGGTGGGTCGAGAGGGCTTTCAGTGGGGTTTAGGCTGGCTGGGGTCCATCTGATCTGGGCCACTCTCCCGGCCTCAGGTGGTTTCTTAGCTTGGAGATGCATCACTCCAGCCTGTCACCAATGGCATCTTCTCTCTGTCCCCTCTCTTATAAGGAAGCCCTCAAATGGGGTGAGGACCACCCTGCTCGGTAGGGCCTGGTGTTAACCGTTACAGAGACCTTCACAGGGACATCTGGGGGCCGGATTCGGCCCATCCTACAGCCCTGTGCTCCCCCAGCCTCAGCCACGGCCTGCCTGCCCAGAGCAGGCCATGACCTGCCCACAGCAGGCCATGACCTGCCCACAGCCAGGCCCTGAGAGCAACCAGCTCAAGGTCACAGACAGGTCTGTGACAGAGGGCCCGGGGCTGCCTGTTCCCTGGCACAGCCTGCGTTGAGCAGGGCGTGCTGGGGGTGCCACCTCGTGGATGCTCAGTGGCACTGCACCCCAGTACTTCGCAGTAGGGGCCTGGCTGCTGTCTGCTGTTCCAGCAGGGAGAGGTCAGGGGGCTGGAGCCACGGCCCCCCATCTCTCGGATGGGACCAAACCGCCAGCAGGTGGGAACAGAGGGCCACTTTGCAGCAAAGGGTGGAGGTCCCTGGGCCTGGAAACAAGCAGGGGGCAGGAGCAGGCAGGTGACACTGGCCTCTGGACAGTGAGCCTTGGACTCCATTCCCAGTGGCTGCTGACGGGGCTGCCAGGTGAGGAGTGCCCTGGTGGGCACAGAGCAGGGCTGTCTGGAGGGAGCCCCAGGATCTAACAGGCCATGAGCAAGTGCCCCCAGTGCTGACTGTGACAGCTATTGGAACACGTTAGCCAGTCAGTGGCCTTTGGAGGCAGGCTGCTGGACCACAGATACTGGAAATGGCATCTCCGGGTACCCACTGCACTGCCCTCCAGCTCCTCCTGCGACTGTCATGGGCTGTTCTGTGACCTCAGAGAAGGTGCCTTGGAGGCCTGGGCCGGCTGCGGCTGAACCTCCCCGAGGGGTTCCTATGGGTGATGGGGAGGGGCCTTTAGGCTCCACTGTGGACATCAACACAAATAGGGCTTGCTTTGTCCCAGCGTGAAGAGTGAAAGGCCTCTCTGAGGCCAGAGAGATCCCCTCCTAGAACACGCTCGACAGGACACTGGGCAGGAGCGGGAAGTGGGGAGGCCAGGGTACACCTCACGTCTGATGGGGCTCCTGGCTGTAAAAGGGCCACAGGAGGCCCAGTGGGTGAGTGGAGGACGGGGTGGTGAAGGCCAGGCCGGGCCAGGGAGACTCTCTGGGTTCAGTTTTCATGAAAACTTGGAAATTTTCTAGCCATTATTTCTTCAAAAAATCTTCTGCCCGCCCCCACCACAGGCCTCCCGACAGGCACAAGAGGCTGCATGTCCCTCAGGACATCATCTTCACTGATGTCTCTGCTCACCATGGGGTTTCTGCTCCCACGTCTTCATGCCACCCCACTTTCCCCCCACGTTGTCCAATGTACTGCTAGTACCTTCCAGGGTCTTTCCCTCCATGAGTGCAGTCCAGGTTTGAATCTTTCATTTCCTTCTTTTACACGCTCCCTTTACCTCTGTGAACACAGGGAACATGTCTGTAACTGTGGTTTCGACATCACATTTACTAACCCGACCAGCTGTCATTTCTGGGTCTATTTCTATGGATCGATTGTTCTTCTCATTGTGGATTTTATTTCCTTGCTTCTTGGCATGTCTGGTGTGTATGTGTGTCTAAGTATATATGTTGCTGTTGTTAGGTGCTGTCGATTCGTCTCCAACTCATAGCGACCCTATGCACAGAATGAAACGTTGCCCAGTCCCACACCAGCTCCATGATCTTTGATATACATGAGCTCATTGCTGCAGCCACTGTGTTAATCCATCTCGTTGGGGGCCTTCCCCTCCTTTGTCGACCCTCCACCTTACCAAGCATGACATCCTTCTCCAGGTAATGGTCCCTTCCGACAACATGACCAAAGTAGGTGAGACGAAGTCTGGCTATTCTCCCTTCCCAGGAGCATTCCGGCTGCACTTCCTCCAGGACAGACCTGTTAGTTCTTTTAGCAGTCCGTGCATTCTTCACCAGCACAACTCAAAATCATTGACTCTTCTTTGGTCTTCCTTATTCATTGTCAGCTTTCACATGCATATGAGGTGATTGAAAATATCATGGCTTGTGTCAGGCGCACTCTAGTCCTCAAGGAGACATCTTTGCTCTTCAGCACTTGAAAGAGGTCCTTTGCAGCTGACTTGCCCAGTTCTGGATGTCGTGACTGCTGCTTCCACTGGCATCGATTGTATAGCCAAGCAATGTGAAGTCTTTGACAATTTGAATCTTTTCTCCATTTATCGTGATGCTGCTTATTGGTCCAGTTGTGAGGATTTTTGTTTTCTTTATATTG